CAATATATTAATCACAAATATAATTACACATCATATTATAGGATAATAACTTGAGAATGTTCCAAACAGTGTTATTTCAGTAACATTAAGATAAAAACATATAAAAAACTGAAATAATTGTACATTTAAATGTAACTAAAACTGAAATAAAAATTACTGAAAACTATGTTAAATATAAAAAAAACTGAAATAATTGTACATTTAAATGTACCTAAAACTGAAATACAAATGAATAAAAACTATATATTTTTAAATATAAAATGTAACTAAAAGTTCAAATTATATATAATGATTTTATATAATATAAATTCATATATATATATTATATTCGTTTATGTCAAGTGAACTTAAATTAACAGCTGTAATTATTTGAAGTAACATTTTTGATGGTTTTAATATAAATTTCAGTTTTCATGTTAATTAACTATAATAACCTTGCATGGTTACAAAGAGCATTATGTGCTTCAATAGAAGCAGGAAAATGTTAGTTTTCTTAAATTGGTTTTCTGCATAATCTGAAATATTTCCTTTATAATTCCAGATTTACAACGCAAGAATCATAACTCACTGAGTGTTCTCTGCTGTCATAACAGACATATGCATGACATGAACATCGATCAAACACGAGAGAAAGCTGATCATTTGCTCTTGACCGCTTCCACAATCGGAAAGCATCTTCCTGAGCACATCACCTCCAAAAAGCAAGTCATCTTCCTCCTTGAATATCATTGATGCTGACCTACAGCAGCAGACTGCAGTCATTACCGAGGAAGCCCGGCAGACGGTCAGATCTTACCTTGTGTTCCCCGACGCTGATGTGTGACAGAGCGAACAGCAGCCCGGAGCTATAGCACATATGACATTGAAAGGTTGTCTCAACCCGGCGGAGGGAGAGAGAGAGCTGGGACGCCGCGTCCCTTCAGTGATGGAGCGCTTGACCTCTGGAGGTCAGCGGGGTCGCCATGCTCCCAGCCACACGCTCTGCTTCCCGCTTGGGAAGTGTTTAACCTGAGCAGCTCCGGATCAATCTCTCTCGCTCTCTGCAGAACTGAATGCCGGCACTCACTTCCTGGTATGACACATTTAAGGATGATGCTTTGGGCTTCATTTGCATAAAAGGCAAAGTTCCAAGAAAGCAGGAGCTCTGTGGCTCGATCTTGGAAGCTTTTCAGATTCAGGAGATCAACAGGATTCCCACAGGTTTTACCGACGGACACCAGTTATCTGAATCATTACTGGATAAGGATTTTTCAAAATCATTTTATAGGCATTGCGTTTAAGAGGTTTTATTTTATTTCTAAGCATAACAGGAAAAACACATTCACTATAACAGGTCCAAACCAGGTCCCCTAAAATATTTCCAGGTTTTCCGTGACTCTGGGAATTCTGCATCACACACTAAACCATGAAAGAGTGTTTGAAAAGCAGCTAAATAGTTTTTGGTAACTGAAATCAAATATAAATATTAGATAAAAAAATGATGAAGAAATGTTGCCTTGGCAACTAACTGAAATACTAAACTTAGACTGAAATAAAAATTTGTTAAAGCTATGTTGGAATATTTATATAAAAAAAACAATAACAAAGTAATAAAAATGACAAAAGCACATAACAAAATTACCAAAAGTTTAACTAAAATTCAAATGAAACCTTAAAATATAACAATACAGGCTAATTAATTTAAGTTATTAATAATTTTATTAACATTTGTAAAATAAATAAAATCTCATATAAATATTAGATGAAAAGCTTAAAGAAAATGTTGCCTTGGCAACTAACTAAAATAAGTTTAAGTTACTAAAATGACTAAAAATAAACTGAAATAAAAGTAAAGTCTAATGGACATATTTTTAAAAAATTCTAATAAAAATTAAAAGCAACAAAATAAAAAAAAACTATATAAAATTAAATATAAAAATCAGATGAAAAACAAACGAAAATTAGAAATGTTGCTTTGGCAACTAAGTAAAAGTAGTTTAGGTTAAAGCACTAAAACTTCTAAAACTAAAACTGAAATAAAAATAAAATCTAATGGAAACATTTTGGAAAAAAAAAAAAGCTAATAAAAATGAAAAAAGCACAACAAAACAAAAAAACGAACATTAATATGAACTCTGAAAATCTAAAAATCAGATGAAAAACTTACGGAAATTAGAAATGTTGCTTTGGCAACTAAATAAAGTACCACTGAAGTACTAACATTTATAAAACTCAATAAAAACAGTAATGGAAATATAGAAAAAGAGAAATGACAAAAACATAAAATTACAAAAGCTAAAATGAAAATAAAAACTGAAAATATAAAAATAAAAGCCAATTCAAAACATTAATAAATAATATATTACATAAATAATACTAAAATAACACTGAAGATGCATTTGTTTAGTGCATACTTGAAACTTAGATCATTTAGTGCCCGATCCAGAAGATGTTTTACAGGAATAGGTTTTTATCGCAGTGCATCAACACTTAAAAATTAAGCTTGTTTATTAGCATCGATGGTTCCATGAAGAACCTTTAACATTATGGAATCTTTCCACTCCACGAAAGCTCCTTTATAGCAGAAAACAATTCTTTATTCTATTAAAATGTTAGGAACTGATCACTGAAAGGTGAATTGAAGCTTGTTTATTAGCATCGATGGTTCCATGAAGAACCTTTAACATTATGGAATCTTTCCACTCCACAAAAGCTCCTTTATAGCAGAAAACAATTCTTTATTCTATTAAAATGTTAGGAACTGATCACTGAAAGGTGAATTCTTCTGTGGCATCACTATGAAAACCCCTCCTCGGGAACCTTTCTTTTTAAGAGTGAAGCATAAGAGCAGCAGCGAGGCAGCAAGTCAAAACAGCCCACAAGTCTCTATACGTGGTTGGTTTGGTGCGTCGACTAAAAGCACACTGCAAGAGGGCAGAGAGAGCTCTCGGTCTGAAAACACACAGCAGTACAGTACAGGAACTGCTTGAGCTGTTTATAGCCAACAGTAAATTCACTTCAAAATGAGTTTGCAGCAACAGACCGGTCACTCTCGCAGATAATGGCAATTAGCAGCTGCTACTGGAGTCTGGCTGGAGATCAGACACAACTCAACACTTCACTGAGACAGAACCTGGGCAGCTTTCCGCCGTCAGACGACTGGCTGATCATTCAGTCCGGTCTGAACATGACCAGCACATTGTTTTATGAATCTGTCTCAAGATTCAGCTCTTGGCTGTTGAAGAATGGAGTAGCATATATTATATTGGAACAGACAGTAACCGGTTAGTTTAAAAATGCAGCAGCAAATCAACAAAAATGAATAAATAATGGCTCCTTAATTAATGTAAATTAATGTACACTATTATATATTTTTAGTATTTATTATTCCAATTTTAAATATTCATTTGAGTACTTTAACTGAAAATTAGAAATAAGTACGTTTAATGGTTTTTCAGGCATATTTTTTAGGATTTATTATAATTTTTAAATAAAATGTATATGTATATAAAAATATAATTTTACTTATTAGAAATTAATTTGTTTCTATTTTATTTTGGTTACCATTTATTTTCTTTAAATTAATGTAAATGTATGTACATAAATTGCAACACTGATATGCAGGTATATATTGCAACTTTTTTTATTGTTTATCACTATGTAACCAAAACTCAAATAATGTAGTTTTCATTTTACACTCTCTAATTCCTCAAGCGGCAATTAAAGCATCACTATGTAACTTTTGGCGCTCTAGCGGTTAATAAACAGAACTGCACACATCCCGCGGAAGAACATTCCAACCGGAGCTACTTCTCTTAAGTTTATGTCTCAGGCGATTCACGCAGGTATGTGTTACTCCGCAGCGGTGACCAGGCTACAATAGTCCAAATATAAGTATTATTATAAGTGTACCGTAGTGATTCGGAATAAGACAAAAACGCGGTTTGGAAGATGAATTCATGATGTACTCGCTCATTATATACATTTTGCAAATTTTGAACACAGAAAAAGTTACATAGTGCTGCTTTAAAAAAAAAAAAAGAGTTAATGTTACTGAAATAAAATATTAATAAACTTGAATTAATTTCAAATTTTCAGTTAGATTAGAATTACAATAATAAATACTAAAAACCATGTACATAAATTTGTTAATTTAAATAACTATTAACTGAAATTAAATAGAAAAAAAATATTTCTAATTTTCAGCACTGACCTTTGAAAGTGTCTATTAGAATAAAGAATTGGAAGAAACACAGAAACTCTGGTTAGTTTGTGTTCGTGATCTGTAGAGAGACAAATGAGTTTATATGAAACATTTCATCATCAGCAGTGATACATACATTCATTTGTTCTTCTCCTTTATTATGATTTACAAAAACAAACCATTTAACTTAAAATAAGTTTTAAAAAAAGTTGCCTTGAACTGAAAGTCACTGAATATGTGTGGCAGACTGAGAGAAGACAACTGAATGTGAGGAGATTTAAAAATATAAAACAAAAAAAAAGAAAGAGTGAGAGAAAGCAAGAGAGCTTTTCTCACCTTCTCGGGCCGTGTGCCGTTTGGATAAAGGCCCAAAAAATGCAGGGTGAAAGAGAAAATCTACTTCTCTCATGAGTTTTAAGGACGATGCTAAATGTAGAAAATCATATCAAACATTCACACTTTTCTGTTTGTTCAATGTTCTAATAACCTTCGCTGTGCAAATAAATATTAGGAGAGAAACCTGCACTCAGTGTTTTCCTCAGTCACAGATGTTCTTGGATCGCTTGGCTTTTCACAATATGACGCAGCTCTTATTTTTTGCTTCTTTCAATAAATATGTTTCATATATATGGGTGAATCACAAAAAAAACACGTCCAGGTTTTATTTAACCCCAACATCAAAAGAAAATAAAAATGTATTAAGCCTAAAATGACTATATTTTCGTTAATTTCATGACAATTATTTACAATAATGCATTCAGTAATGCATTACTCATTACTGTAATGTAGTATTACAATATAAAATACTGTAATAAAATGATTAATCAAATTAAAGGCAGTACAACTAACAATACAATTTATAAACATGAATTCAATCATATTTTTTCGTATTACAGTAATGAGAATCAGATTTTTTGCATTACGGCAAGCTGTAAAATTTCAAAATGTTATTCAAAAAGTTATTGGTGGTTCTAAAACTGGCGTTTAGCATAATACACAGATTCTTTTTTCTTCTGATTTTGGGGTGAAACGTGACCTTGACCGGTTGTGTGAGATTCACACATACTCACGTTCACATATCAGCCACTTTTATCCGTAAAATAAAAATCAAAGGATAAAAAACAAAAGGTTCAGTTTGACCGTGTCCCTCTGGAGAGACACAAAGTCTGCTTCTAGAACGCAGTTCAGCTCGGTGTGTCTTCAGATCTGGCACCGGCATCGCTGCGTAACATCCTCTTCCTCTTTTCCTTCATCTCTCTCTTTTCCTCAGCATTTTTCTCACGCTTTCTGCTGATTAAAAGCACGTCACGCGGACAGGAGAGGAATGATCGCTCTAAAGTTCAGCGGTGTAAAAAAAAAAAAGCAAGGAAACGCTGTCTGAAGCAATAGAAGAGTGTATTGTTCTCTCGGGGGTTTGCCGTGCTCTCTGCGCGGTCTGTGTGTGTCAGGTTCAGCGCTGGTTCCACCGTGTCACAGATCAGTCTCCGGTGGTGGTGGTGGGGGGGGTCGACCGGGCCGGCTGAGATGATGATGATGATGATGATGTGTAGATGTGTTCAGGATGTGGGCTGAGCTCTTACGAGTTATTGGTGGCATTCTCGTTGCTCGGAGAGTTGGAGGAGGAAGAGGAGGAGGAAGAGGGGGTGAAGTTCATCCCTGATAGGCCGGGTGGATCCGTGGCTGTGTTCTGCCCACTCAAACTCTTCCTGCACACTGGACACGTGTCATGCTGGGAAACACACAGACAAAACATGTAACGCTGTTCTTAACTTTATATACAAAGTAGGGCTGTGCGATTAATCTAAATCATCATAAAATCGCGATTTGAGCGTGCGCGATTTCTAAATCGCTTAATAGCACGATTTTCCGCGCCCCGACCTCCCGCAGTATGCTATCCGAACCAATCAGTCTGTGCTGCGTATTTTTTCCTTGCCCATGTTAACGGATCTGAGTCCGCAATTGCGGTCCGGCAGTGCTCTGCAGCAGTCATGCTGCGATCGTTTCCGCACGGAGTCTATTTCTGCTGTGCTGCACGCGCTGAATTAAAGTGACAGTGCATTATTCGCAATAAAAAAATAACATGGATTGGCACGGAAATGTAGTAATTACACCATAAATGCATATAATTAAAGTCTACTGTTTCACAGTCAACACATGGCTTTGGGATTAAAATCGAAATCGCAAAATTGATCAAAGAAATCGCTATGTTTTTTTTGTCCATATCGCACAGTCCTAATACAAAGACAAAAATGCATCATGGTTTCTGCAAAAAACATTGATAATATTGATAATAAGAAATGTTTCTTGAGCAGCAAAGCAGCATTTTAGAATGATGGTTTCATCAAGATACAAGTAGTTTTTATTAATATTTTGGTAATTTTGTTGTGCTTGTCATTTTTAAAAATATTAACTTTTTTATATTTATATGATATTTTAATTTTAAACGTCTTTATAGTTTATTCAATTTCATTTAGTTATTTTTCTACATAAAGTCAAACTAAATGAAAATGACAAATGTTGCCTTGGCAACCAGCTTAAATTAAATAAGTTTATTTTATCTTATTTTAGTTCAAGTTTAATTTATTTCAAGTAACAAAAATTGTTATTATGATTTTAGTTTAAGTTTTAACTAACAACCTTGTTTCTGAAGGATCATGTGACACTGAAGACTGGAGTAATAATCAGAAATAAATTACATTAACATATACTCAAATAGAAAATATTTAAATCACAATAATATTTCACAATATTACCATTTTATGTATGTATGTATTTTTGATCAAATAAATGCCTTGAGCATACTTTCAAAAACATTCAAACATTTTACTGAACCAATTTTGTGTCTTTAAATCTTAATATGTTAGACATATTATTAAACAAAAAACGGGAATTCGTTGTTAGTTTTATTTTGTAATATAAAGTGAACAAAGAAGTGAACGTGATGTTAACATTTTTGTCATGCCCCTGAATGCTGCACAAACATCTACAATGAAAAAACATAATTAAAAAAATATTCATTTAATTAAAACGTTTCAGTTCGTTTTTTTTCCATAAATTATTGTTAGTTTCAAAACAGCAGCACAAACATTTGTAAGCATCTGCGATGGATTTTAGGTCATACAGTGGTAATACGAATAATATATAAAAATGTAGATAATAATATTTAAAAAGTTATAATATTAACATTTGAATAGTTACAAAAAATGAGCCTGAACTTTAGGTTGACAGTTGACGTGTGCTAACAATCCCTCACTGAGCAATGACTAACTTCAGCTCTTTATTCCCATCCTGTTCATTTTCTTGTCATCAAGTTATAATTAACAAAGTTAGAAGTGTCTGATTATGACAAGAGCATATTTCTGAAAGCCTGCCATATTACTTTTACACAAGTACTTTTTGATTGCAACATGCATATTCATTTGAAAAAGTAACCGAGTTCAAAGGTGCTGTATAACACGATGAACCCAAACACATCAGCAGCAGTTATTAGCACAAATTCAATTTGCAAACTCCTGCCTTTCTGTACAGAACCATGAGCCATGAAATGAATGTCACAAACTACAAATTGAAACGGCCTTTATCTGGATCACTCATTAACGACCGAATATACACGGTCAAAAGTTGTCAATATTTTGAGTTTAGATGATGAAGTATGGAGAAATGAAATACAACAGAAGAGAAACACACCTGCTCGAGCCAGGGAACTACACAGTCGTTATGAAAGAGATGATTGCAAGGAAGTTGTCTAACGTTCTCTCCTGTGCTGTAGTCTTCTTTACAGACAGGACACTCTAGACCAGCACCTGAACCACAAAAACACAGACGTCAGAAATAAGCAGCATCAACATCCCGGATCAAACATTATATCACAATGACGATGGGGAGTTGAAACTGACTGCACCGTTATTGAGAATGTGAAAATATACAGTACATATTTTCAAAGTTGACCAATCTGTGGGTTGTTTGAATTACTAGACAACTAGCCAGCTGTAATTGGACAAATTATTTATTGAACAGTATTGTGTAGGTGTTATTTGTTATATATATAACCATTCAAATGTTTGGGGTCAGTAAGATCTCATGCTTTTGAAAAAAAAAAAAGAGTCTCTTCTGCTCACCAAGGCAGCAATTATTTGATAAAAAATACAGTAAATACAGTAATATTGTGAAATATTATTACAATTTAAAACAACTGTTTTCTATGTGACTATATGTTAAAATGTCATTTATTCCTGTGATGCAAAGCTGATCACTCCAGTCTTTCCAGGATGTATCAATCTCACTTTCAGCATCATTACTCCAGTCTTCAGTGTCACATGATCCTTCAGAAATCAGTATAATATGCTGAGTTAAACATATCTTATTATCAATGTCAAAAACAGTTGTGCTGCTTCATATTTTTGTGGAATCTGTGATGCACTTTATTTTTCAGGATTCTTCTTTGAATAGAACAACATTTATCTATTATCTATAAACACTGTGTGTGTGTGTGTGTGTGTGTGTGTGTGTGTGTGTG